TGATGAAGGAAATATCTGTCCTGCTTGTACCAAAGTGAGTATATTCATATTACTTGTTTAACAAGAAAAATTAGGAAAAAGAACATTAGCAATGCTATCTCAAGCACCTTTTTGACTGCATCATTGAACTCAAATACATTGCATGATTTTATCCTTCATCATTTTATTATTTGATTTTTTTTCATTTTCTACCACATAGTTTTTATTTTCAATAAATTTTTGCCATGTGCTTTAGGAAATAAAACTCTTGTATACTTTTTTGTTTGTTACATATTGTTATTTATAAGAGGGCAATTCCATGGGTAACAGACGTAACATTTGCAGCAAATAAATTCTCACTGTGCCCGGGTTTTGATGCAGAAGAACTCCAACTTATGCATCATGGTAGAGGATACTTAAGGCATCCTATATACCATAATCTTATTTGTATTCACAACTTCCCCATTTGACAGCATGCGGATAAGACTGGTAACTGACGTAACTTGGACAAACATGTACAAGTCAACACTTGTGTTGCAAGTGAAAAAATCTGTGAAGTGTGTCATTTGTTTGATTCAGTTTATAGTGTGCTTTTCAATTACATGTCAAAGTACACACCCTGCCAGTTTTACCTTGATCTGTCAAGTAGAAGCGTAACAGATTAAGCAAACATTTGGTAACTGACGTAGCATGGTTGGTAACTGACGTAACACTGTCTAAATTCAAAGGTGTTTTGACTGGGAAAATTGATTTTTGCAAAGAAGCAACTCATTCCAAATCTATTATGAGCAATTCCACTTTCAAATGACAAGCAATCAAACAATCCTTATAACACAAATTTAGATGATTTCATTTAAACTGACATGAAAAAGAAATGGTGAAAAAGAAAAAATGAACTGCAGATAGAACATATTGTGCAACTCAACAGGAGCAAATAGATATATATAATTCATCAGGCTCTTCTTTTTGCCTTCATGTTCTTGAAGGCAGCATCAATGTCCTTATATTCAGAAATTTTAAAGTCTTTGAGGACACCATCCAGTGTGACTGGCCCAAAAAAAATTGAACTCTTGTGCACAACATCAAAGTCATCCTGCCGTGGCCAGTTGAAAAGTGCTTCTCCTGCAAGGGATGTCTGATGAAGGAATTTCATGCTCCAAAATCCAGGTTTTGTCATTGCAATTGTTCGGCCAATGTAGAACCTATCAATGTAGTCCACAGCGAAGTAGTGTTCAGGTTGAATAGGTCCCACTCCTAATGTGTCTGAGCTGGCCTTGCTGCTGCTTGACTGATGGTTTGTGGCTGTTAACTTGTTGAAGATCACAACCTTTTCAAACACAATGCTCTCCTGGAACTCCTGAAAGTAGGGAGTTATGATAGACTTTTCCAACTCACTGACTGAATGTCTTCGAAAAAAATGTGCATTTCTGATGTTTGGAATGTTTTTTGGTTCATCTTTGTCCCAAATGTCTTGAAATTCCTTTTCGACTTCTTCAACATCCTCCTTGGGAATGAAGATCACTTTAATGTTTGGACATGCCCTCTCTGCAACATTAGCAAAATCCCTGGCAGTGTTGACTAGTACCTGTCTCTGAAGCAGTCTTCGCCACACTGCTCTTTTCACTGTCCCACCTACACCATCCCATGTGCTGTACCAAAAAAGCTCCAGTCCACATTTTTCAGTTTGCTGTAAATCAGTTTTGGATCTGTCAAGGTGGATAGAGTGAACCTGTTTTTGAACTGACTGCCAGCACCATCTGTAAAAATGTGGAGGGTTTCAATATCTGCTGGTCCGGAAGCTAAGATGGCTCTGTTGAATGCTGCTACTGAGAATTTGTCATGTTGGAGTGCATCACTGATAACAGCAAATGATGCTGCACCATTTTCTGTATTCATCACTGCTGTATAAATGGTGACACTGTTTGAGACCCAGTGTGCTGCCATTATTTCATCCTGTTGCTTTATCTGGAAGTTCTCTGAAAAGTCAGTGTGCAGAATAGCTTCCTTTCTCTTCAGATTTTCCTTCAAAGCTTTGATTTGGCTCAGCTGTATCTTTGAAATGAAACAGTGGCGCCTCATGGTACAAAGTTGCCCAAAGAACTCTGCTTTTGCTCCTTCTAGAGTGTTCTGAACTTGGATTTTTTTGTTTTCTTTCCATTGAATGTAACAACAAGGGCTTGAGAGGTCACAGTCTGGAAAAAGATTCCGCTTTGTGACGTCTTTGCACAATTCACATTCACCCAAGTGGCAGTTCAATTTGGGGGAACTGCAAACAGACATCTGAATCAGCCCTTCAGGGTTTGGAAGTCCAGGAATTGTTTGCTTGAGACCCTCCACCAGCATCTCAAAATTTTCGTGGTAGGAACAACAACACACAGAATGATCCTTCTCAGAGACAGGAAGAACGTGTGGTGGACGAAGACTGGCAAACTTTGATTTGCCTACTTTCACTTCAGGATATTCAGCCTTGAACTTCTGGTATGTCTCCATGACAGTTGACAGTAAGATCTTCTTCTGCACACGAACTTTTTGTCCATCTTTCTTCACAGTTACAAAGTCCTTTCTCCCAGGAAGCTGCCTTGCAACAGTGTCACTTTGAAAAAACTCTTCCACGATCTTATCAACTTCTGAAAGTGTGCGTTGTTTGCCCTTCTCAATTTGTTTAACAAAGGTGTCTGACAGTTTCTTGACTACTGCTGCTTTCTTCCTTGGGCTCCTTGGAAGAGGACTGGCAGCCTTTTTTATTACCTTTGCTAGAGATTGTCTGCTACCAAAAGCAGTGTACTCATTTGCTAGGGCTCTGTCCTGGTTGCCGCTGTTCAAGTTGGAGGCCTTGGCTTGTCTTGATTTTTTACTCTTTCCTTGCTCCTTTCATTTTCTTGAATTCTTCTTTTCTCAGTCCATTGAGCTCTGCGTGTTCTTTGTTGCTCTTTATTTCTTTCCCTCATCTGCTGACGTTTAGCATCACTCATACGAGCCCTGTAGTCTCTCATTTTCTCTGCTGCGGACTTCGGCATTCTGAAAGAAGAATTGAAAAATTGTTGACATAAGGCATTTATCTGAAGTTTGGTTGAGTTTCAAGATACATTCACATAATTCATCATTAAAGATCCAACATCAGTGAAACTGAAATCAAAGAAGAAACAGGTTGAAAAAATTATGAGTTTGGTCAGGCCAAACAATGAAAAAGATTTCATTATTTTTTTTATTCAAACCACGTTAATATAATGAAACTATCAATACAGTATCAATTCAGAGCATCCAGGTTTCTACATAAAAATACATCACAAACTTCAGACTGCGCCATCATTTACCTGGATATGTTACGTCAGTTACTGTAGGTCACATGCCATAACTGTTACATCAGTTACCATAAAAACTGTTAAATATGAAGCTCAAATAAAATTCTTTGCATGTTGCCTTTCCCATCTCCCCATATGCTAAGAACACAGGGGGTATCATTTTTCTTTGAGCTTTTCTAAAGAAACAGCACATCTTTTATCACTTTTTTGGTAACTGACGTAACAAAGCTCTGAGTAGCATGAAATAGGCTAACAAAAGTTTGTGATCAAACCAAAGTACAATTTTTTTCCCAAGAAATAAAAAACAAAGATTTGCTCTTACTAAGAATGAACTTAAACTTACTTTTTGGCAGTTTCCTTCAGCAGTACAAGTCTTTAAATCTCCTTTTTAATCTGGGGGTACTGACCACATGGCTGACCACTAACTTTTAAAATGGCCTCCAGTCATGTGACATGCAGCCAGCAGAAAAAAATGTCCTGCACCACATGGCACAATTATTATATGAAGTTGTAACATCATTATTTTCAACATATCTGGGAAAAATTTTTTCAACCCTGAGGTTGACATATTCGTGGAATTGCCCAAGAATGTCATGATTTTCTTGCTGGGAATGCTGTTTGATCAATGAGTCACTACAAAGCTCTTGATGAAATAGCTATCTTTGAACGAGGCTGTTGACATGAATTTCCTAAAAAATTGTTAAATTTAAACATGGAGATAGGTCTGTTACACACATTTTTGTCTATTTTTACCTAAATGTTCTTGGTTTGAAAGAGGTGGTTAGGATGCATGCATTTGATGGTGTAAATTTATTTTTTTCAGTTGGTTTGCTACTTTCAATGCTTTGTGCAAGTGCTGAAGCTTTTTGCATACATGTGGTTGCATTATTTAAAAAAATATTCTACATATTTTATAGATTGAGCTATGCAGTTTATGTTCTCCAAGAATTAGAGAAAGATAATGCTGATAATCCTGCACTCAAAATAAACATATTGTATGATGTTGCATGCATGTTGGTGAAACACTTAAGGTAATATTCAATTGACAATAGTTGCTTTGTTACCTGTTTCCTTAGTCAACTTTCCCTCAACATTTTTTTTCTTTGAAAAGGTAGTCTTTCACATGTTTTTCTTTATTTTGTTTTTTACAAAAAGAATTTGGACTATCCGATTGTTGACATTTTTCAATTTTCAATTCCAATTTTTCACTGCTATGGGCATGTTGGACGATGCCAAGTTAGTTGTTATTGTTTTTATTTTTCATACGTATTAACAGATGGTGATACCTGGGTTTTTATGCTATCATAACTAATGGTATTGTAGATGATAAATGATGAAAATTCAATATTTGTTTACTAAATCTTTCTTGTTAAAGGTGAAATTTAGTCACCGTCGTTAAGAAGGATTTGGCCTAACTGACGGTGAGATGTTGGAGAGATTGTGGGCTTACATTCGCAAATTTAGCAGAATGACTAAAGAAATGCGTCCAAGTCACAGAGTTGATGTACTCAGTGATGCTCTTTTACATTATGGAAAGAAAACGAAGATTAATTTAGGTATAGCTAGTTTTTCTTTCTTTGTTTGAACATATACATAGCTAACATGTCATCATATTATGTAATAGCAGATATGAATTAAATTTTGTTTTTTGTGGCAATTTGCTGATGGCAAGGATGAAGCGAGCTGTTGATGTGAAAGAAACTGCAAAATTAGATATTGAAAAGTTATGCAGGTGCTTTCCGTGTGAGTATATGTTTGTATTTGCTGTGTGATTATATTTGACTCCGATTTTGGATATGAACTATTTACGACTCACATGAAAGCAGTAAATTTTCTTTTTTTCATTATCTAAAGCTCACAGGATTTCAATAGATGATATTCGTGAGTGGATGAAGGACGAGTCGACTTTTTTTGGTCGTGAAGTTGAGACTGGTTAGTAAATGAGAAATAATGGCTTGTAGCTAAGGAACAGATTTGACACATAATTATTGCTCATTATAAGGAAATGTTTTACGCACAGAAAACTTTTTTAACAAATATACGTAAATCTTCAACAACTTACAGAAGAAGAAGATTGGAAATGCAAGTACGTTATATACCTGGACTTGTACGCTGATCTTTACCATCGATGGAATGGTTGCACTGATCCAAGTGAACTGACTGTTCGATTTAATCAGATGAAAAAGTATGTTCGAAAAGTTCAACTTTTTTCTAGAGATATTAAAGTCTTAAACAGTGTGAATTTAGAAAAATGAACTGGGAAAATTTTGAAGCTATGAATGTACGTCGTAACATTGTGAATAATAAGTTGGAATATCGAATAAAAAATTATTTCTTGTTTTTATACGTACGTACAAGTAGAGATGTATATGCAACTGGCAGGTGCTTGTCAGACCGTGCCTTATATTTGTAATGATTTGGTATTTACTGTTTAGAATTGACGAGCAGTTGAAGATCATGGAAAGGGAAAACTCAATTTCTGCAAGCTGGCAAAATACAGACTCAGAGTACGAAAATGCAAAACGCGAGGTTGCGTCTAGGAAAGAAAAACGTGTTTTGTCTCGAATGAGGAAAAATGTTGTTGAAAGATGGTTTCTCCTAAACCTTAAGTCTAAATACTGTGGTAACTATACGTATCTCATAAATGTTCTATACAACTTGCAATGTTTGTAAATTACTTTACATGTTGCCTTCTATGTAATGTTCTCTGTATGTTTGTAAATGTTTCTGTATGTTTGTTCTGTTTTTCAGATGGTCAAGCGTTGGCATCCAGACTTTTGAAGCAAACTACTCGAGTAACAAAGGATGTCAATAAAGATATCACAGCTTATAACGAGGCAAAACAATCACATTCTAATCATTCACGTACCGCGTTAACATTTGATGCTGTTAAAGATCCTGACAATGATTTTTTGGTGTGAATATCTAGCTGCACCTACTGATGAAGATTGTTCAGTTCCACTTACTGTGGATTAGCTATAGATTTATGCCATTTGCTTCACCGAAATGGAAAATGGAAAATACGTGGAGTCACTACTTTCAGCAGCACGGCAAGATTACTGACTTTTTGAATAGTTTTATTTACCATGAAAATGTACTTGATGTTGAATATGGTGAGGCGATATTTTTACACACGACTATGAAATCACCAGCGATGATGTATAACGGGGTTGTGCAGGCACTTCAAGCTCTTGAAAATCCTTTAATTAGAAAATTAATTTACGTAAAGAGCACTTGAAAAGTTGCTACGAAATCAAAATCAAAGAAAGCGCTTAAAAAGTGCTTATTAGTCACAAAATTAAAATGAAATCTACTCAGTATTATTCCATATAAAGCTGAACAGAATTGAATGTTTTTTGAGTTGCTAAATTGTGAAGTTTTCCTAAAAATCTATTAATTATTATTTCGATTTATTGGAAGCCTAAAAAACCGTACGCCAACGGAAGCAGAAACGCGAAGGTTGTGTAAATTTAGTAACTGCCTCTAAAATGTAACACATGAAAATTTCTAACATAATTAATCAATAGCAAAATACCTTTTGTACATTTGACGATGTAAATCGCACCCCAAAAAATTTTTAGTTCTTTTTGCTTGCGTACTGCACAAATCCTGTATGATAAAGATGAAGAAGATGAAGGAAAAGCTATATTTTTAACTGCAAAGAATGAGTACTGTTTCTAAACTAAAGACTGTACGTTTATGTTTAATATCCATTGTTTTTGCTTTATAGAAAAAGAAAATATTATAAAAAATGTCTACTCGCCAACGTACGTACGCGGCATAATATACATGATAAAAAAAAGGATTCTTATTCCTTCTCGATGATTGGGTACACAGCATGGCGAGACTACAATACAATTTCAATAATGTGTAACCGTACATCCTGTTCCCAAGTGCAGGAGTCACCTTTCTTCTATGGTGATAAACGGGAGGGCACATTGTTAATAGTGGTAAAGGAATTTTGGTGTGTAAAAACTTTTTAATCAGTCAATAATGATGGGTAATAGCCACCCAACGTACGTACGCCGGATAATAAATGTGTTTAAAAAAGTTTTTTGTTGAATAAATACTTTTTGTCCATCAAAACACATATGTAGCAACTGTTATGTTAGCTAAATAGCTAATGTAGTTTTTAGCGTTGCATGGTGGTGAAAAGATTTACTTGTGTTTTTGAGGTAACTATTTTGATTTATAATTAACTTTGATATGAAATATATCTATAAATTGGCCCAACTTAGTCAACAGTTCAATTAATCGTTAACTTGACTCTGTTTGACATACTTTTTTTCTACGTCTTGTAGTTGTAATTAAAGTCATCTTTTATTTTAATTATAGACAAAATTGAAGTATAATTGTTTCCTGTACAAGAATTCATTATTTTTTGATAAAGTAATAGAACTTAGCTGAAAAAGAAAATCTTATTCAGTAAACCTAAACTAAAAACAGCGCTAGTTCATCGTCAATAGTATGTTTAGACGACATTGAGTCTTAAGAGTAAATCGGTATGATACATTGTCAAGTCACCTCAAATTTTTACAAGATCCACTACAGCTTTCAGGTACTTCGGTAGACAACAAGGTTAGTCACTTTCAGAGTCTGCACTGTCTTAAACTCCACTCGCACAATTATAAATTTTTTCAGCGTTATATCGGAGACAACGCTCAGTTTTTCGTATACAATATATGCAGGCCTATATAAAATATCATAGTTTCACTGTCACATAGCTTTCACAACAAAAAAACGTCTTGGAATTAGGCGTTAGATGAACAACAAACCTCAGGGAATAAAACGTTATACATGTAGTTGATGTTCATTGAATTTGTTTCATCAAAGGATTGAAAAATATCTGTGACTATTTCTTTGACTACATTCAACAGATCTTTTGCCTATATATACAAAAATGACGAGTTAAGACACTGGTGGGGCTCCATTTCTAACAGAGAATATGTTTTTATACTTGAGTTCGAGTTAAAGGACACGTCATGTAGAGATCGGTGAGTTCAGTCTGAGCTTCATTTCGCCCACGGATCATTTGCTTAAATACCCTGTGGCGTTTACTGAGTACGGTACCTTTACGATTTTTGTTAAATGTGTCTAAAATTTAATGTTAAAATATTATAGATATGTTTATCTGCACTGATATTAAATAATTTAAATTCTAGCAGATTCTTTAATCCTCTGAATGAGCGATTTCCCTTTGTATTTATGTCAAATGTTTTCGCAGATCTGTCAAAGAAAAATTAAAAGAAATGAAATATATTTATTCGTGTGTGTTCAACAAACTCACAATTTAGAAATAAAATATTTAAGAGCACGAGGAACGTATTAATAACTATTATGAATACGTATGCAAATAAATCGGTGATGCGCAAAAATGAACAGACTAACAGTTCGTAGTTTAGAAAAAGTGGATGTATAATTTACCCATGAGTAAAGTAAGATACATTGCATCCGCAATCAAATTTTCCTTTCGGCTTCGTCGTAATGCCAACGCAATCCCAATGATACCATTGTTGACAAACATCACACAACACCCAATCCACCATTCCATTATTTTTGGAAGATGGTTCTTGACAAAGAAAGGCTTTACATTTGTCATAGGATATCAAATGACTAGCTCTTTTCTTTGCACAAGACACACTTTTTCAGTCACTGGACTTTGCCTCTTTTCTTTTTCTTTTGTTGTTACTTCTTCCCTTCCTGTGTTTTTTTTCAACTTTCTTAGGCACGGCGTTTTCTGTTACAAGGTGTCCGTCACCGTTCATTAACTGTTCCGTCTCGTCCACAAAATACATTCCCAGAATTACCATCATCATCGCCACCATTATTTACAACATCTTCTCTATCGCCGGGAACATCACCATTTTCACAACAATTATCAACATTATTAGTTCTTTGTCAATGGCCAACATATGCTTTAAAGGTACTTGCAAAAAGTTGGTTCAACCCTTACAAAAATAAACTATAGTTTTGAAAACTGCAGTATTTTGGAACAAAAACTGTAGTTCCGAAAACTATAGTTGTATGAATAAACAGATCTAGAAAGTTTTGGGAGAACTGTAGTTTTACAATTGATAGTTTTGTTCCCAAACACTACAGTTTTCAAAACTATAGTTTTCCGTGAAGTACAGTTTTCCAATGAATCTATGTTATAATGTAGTTCATTAACTAAGGGTTTCATAAAGACAATTTAGCAAATTCCCTGTACAGGTTTTAGTAGTACACATTATTTTATACAGAATTCAATAAAACATAAATCCACGATACAATTCCGGGAGTATCGTTACATGTTTGTAAATGTAGATCGTCCAGATTGGCATAGTCCTGAGAAGGAATGTTTTTTTGTTGTTGACTGACGACGTTTCGACAATCTTAGCGGTAGTCATCTTCAGAGTCAAATGAGTAGTAAACGTCAGTTTAGCGGTATTTCTTATCTGGTTCTTACGTCATTGTATTGTGTGTACAGGAAATGTGTATTGTCATTGTGAATTAGTGTGAAGTGTAATGTTTTTAGTTAATCATTTATTTGTATTGTGAATAAGTCGTTTGTAAGGTGCCGGTAATTGCTGTAATCTGTTGAGGGGGGTTTGTTCCAAGTTGGCATACCAACTTTCTAATGTAAGCCGTTGTCTATAGTCAGTACTGTAAGTAATGCATTTTGCCGAGTCCCAGTCAATGTTGTGCTTTGTGATTCGGTGATATTCGGCAATGTGATTAGTTTTGTCTTGTTTCTTAGTAGCTCGTTTGTGTTCAGTAAGCCTTAGGTTTAATTTCCCCGATATAGGATGCGTGGCAGTCGGAGCAACTTATTTTGTAAACTGCACCTTGTCGTTCGTTGGGTTGTTCTTTGTCCTTTATGTTCGTTAGTACTTGTCGTAACGTAGTGATTGGTTTATGTGCGACTCGTATGTTGTATGCTCGTAAGATACGCGAGATAGTCTCAGACGTACATTTGATGTAAGTTATCGTTGCTATTATCACTGAATTGTTTGTTTCGTTGGGTTCGTTGGGTTTGTAAGTGTTGCGTTTGATAAAGTCAGAGTTATAGTTGTTTTTGTCAAAAACACGTTTGAGATAGTTGTTTTCGTTGTGTAGAGCGTCCGGTGAATCACATATGATTTGTGCACGTCTTGTTAATGTTCTGATTGTGGTGGCTTTGTGTGATGTAGGGTTGTAAGATGATTGGTCTAGTAGTCGGTCAGTATGTGTTGGCTTGCGATAAACTGTTGTTCGTAGTTTTTGATTGTCATGTTTTACCAAACAGTCGAGAAAAGGAAGAGTTCCGTTTTCTTCGACATCTTTTGTAAATTGTATGTGGCTGTTGTGTTTGTTGATGTGAGTGAGAAAGTCATGAATCTCGTCTGCATATAGTGCTGTGATTGTATCATCTACGTAGCGAAACCAAAAAGGTAGTGCATATTTGTAAGTCATGAGCGCCCGTTCCTCTATAGATAGCATTACAATTTCAGCAACTACAACAGAAACGGGGGAGCCCATTGCTTTTCCATGTAATTTTTTGTAGTGTGTACCTTTGTACTGGAAGTAAGTCGAGGTGAGGCAGAGCTCCAGTAGCTCCATAATGTCTTTTGTCGGTAATGGCAGTACGTCCGTGGTGTTTGTAATGAGGATTTTTGTACAAGTAAGTGCCAGATTAAGTGGAATACTGGTAAACAGTGATTTCACATCAAAAGACAGTAATATATAGTTGTCCGGTATTTGTATAGTGCACAGTTTTTTAATGAAAGTTTCAGTGGATTGCAGCTTGTGTTTGGATTTGTTTGTAAGTGGTTGCAGTATGTCAGTCAAGTACTTTGAGAGTTCGTAAGTAGGCGAACCACAGAATGATACAATTGGTCGCATGGGTATTTGTGCTTTGTGAAGTTTTGGTAGTCCGTATAGTCTGGGTGGTCGTGGTACTGAACAACTAAGTCGATAGTAAATACGTTCAGATATAATGTTAGATTTTCTCATAGAGAAGATCTTGCTCTTAAGTTTGCGTACTAGTGATGGTGTTGGGTCTCGTTTGAGTTGTTGGTACGTTTGTCTGTCGTTAACAAGGGTGACCATGTTGTTGAAGTAATCATTCCTGTCCATGACCACAGTCACGCGTCCTTTGTCTGCTGGTAAAATGATGATGTTGTTGTCGTGTTTTAATCGTTTGAGTGCTTGTTGTTCGTCCTTAGTCAAGTTGTTGTCACGTATAGAGGACGATTTTAAAGTGGAGGCTATCCTGCTTCTGATCTCGTCTTTGGTTGTCTCTGACAAGTCTCTTTGATACGCTATTTCACATTTCCTGTACACACAATACAATGACGTAAGACCCAGATAACAAATACGGCTAACCTGACGTTTACTCCTCATTTGACTCTGAAGACGACTACCGCTAAGGTTGTCAAAACGTCAGTCAACAACAACAAAAACAGTCCTTCTCAGGACTATACCAACATGGACGATCTACATTTACAAACGTGTAACGATACTCCCGGAATTGTATCGTGGATTCATGGTTTTTTTAAATTCTGTATAAAATAATGTCTACTACTAGAACCTGTACAGGGAATTTGCTAAACTGTGCTTATGAAACCCTTAGTTAATGAACTACATTATAACATGGATTCATTGGAAAACTGTAGTTCACGGAAAACTATAGTTTTGAAAACTGAAGTGAAAACTGTATCATAAAGTATTAATAACTTTTTTAGCATTTAACCAAACAACATCCAAATTTTATTCTGAAAAATGACCTTAATTCCCTAGCATTCCTCATTAATATTAAAATTACATAATTTAGAGATAAGAATAATTAGTGTTATCATTGTGTATAGTACATACCTTGGTTAATCACTCTTTTATAAGTGAAGCAAGACTGGCTGAGCAGCAAGCCTTTGTTTTCTTTGCCCTGGATGCCTTTAGCTTTTTAGGAATACTGTGCTCCTGCTGGTAACAAGAACAACAATACAAAATTTTATAAATGTTGTTTCAAAAGTTTGTTATTAGCTACTACTTCTCATTTAAATTCTTAGGCTCATAGCCTTGTTCAGCAATGTAGACCTTCGAACATAGAATGAGTAGCTAATAACATTTGAATCATGAATACCATATGGAGTACTTAACAAATTTCCATGAATGAATCATCACATTAGTGACATGAGTGCTAACTATAGATGATGGCAGCAATAATTGAGAAACATGCAGTAAACACCATATAAACAAAATGTGGTCAGTTTAATATTTCAGGCAACTCACCACATCATCTGATTCACTAACACTTTCAATTGTGAACTTTGCTTTGTAAGTTCTTTTGTGACACCCTTTGCCAGTATTTATAGAGAAAGTTTCTCCTTTTATCATTGTCTTGAGCAAATAATCTTTACTATCTGTTTGTACAAAATAATGGATGACTATTTAACAACTATTAAAAAAAAATTTTTCAATTGGAAGCAGTAGCATGCCTGAAATTATAAGGAAACAACCTTATGCAAAGTTTGGCCTAATGTATTACTACATGTATTTAAGAGCAAGCAAGTTAAAATCTGGGAAATAGACACATCCTTATTGTCAGTATTGTAATTGAACTATTGCTATGTAGAAGAAAGAACAACATTTGAGCAAAGGCTTTTTATCAGAAAGTACTTCCCTCCTAAAAAAGCAGTAAGTTGAAATGATAGCAGCAACCTTCATATCAACTATGACTATTTCTACAAACAAGACAGAGAAATAAACAAATAGATTTTAACACAAAAATTTACAGAAATATAGCAAAGCTAAGATGTTTCATGAAAGAAATGATAACAAAGAGAAAGTGCTTGATTCACTAGCAATTAGCTTTTTGGCTGAATTATACAAGCTTTTAGAAATTTTACAAAAAATTCTACAACAGACTAAAAATACTAACCTGAAACCTCTATTATCTCTGCAGGAAATTTCCTCGACTTGCCGTTTCCCTTTGTTTTTCCATCGCCCCAAATGACTTACGTTTTGAATCCTTTAAGTTCATCTTTGTCTTTCGACATATTTTCATCCTAAAAAATGATGTTAGAATATGGAATGATATCCCATGTATTTTCGTTGTAAAAATTCACCAATGCAAACGCCATATTTTCGAATATTATCGCTGAAAAAGGTTTTTCAACTCCTAAATTATATCCAACAAACGAGACATTCAAAAATGACCGCCTTTGAACAATAAATGTGAAGCGACTATGTGATAAATGAATACGACTATAATTGGCGATACTCGTTTGGACTTTGAGTCTATTTCCTATACACAGTTAAGCCCCATTCACACGGGGAAATTTTCTTTGACAAATGATACAAACAAGGATTATGTGGTTCTCTTAGTTAACATGCGACGCTCTAGTGCTCAACTATCACGGGTATCGGGAGGCACGGACCGAAAACGGGATTTTTTTGTTTTCAAAATTTGTCTTTTTCTTTACAAGAATTCTTCTCATTAAAGAAACTAGAACGTCCAAAGATACTTTAAAGGTTCAAACAATTTCTGCCTTTTTGAATTATAATTTAAACAAACTCTAAGCATGTTTATACGTTTTTACTTTTTACCTTTTACAATGTAACTTTCTCATAGCTCTCTCGTGATGAACGCGAGCCTCCTTATACAATATGACTCTTTCATCATGAACGAAAGCATCCATGGGCTTCATGGGGATTATGTGCTTTGTTATAATAGTTTCTACAAAGAAACTATTATAACAAAGCACATAATGTGTTGGCTTGCGATAAACTGTTGTTCGTAGTTTTTGATTGTCATGTTTTACCAAACACTCGAGAAAAGGAAGAGTTCCGTTTTCTTCAACATCTTTGGTAAATTGTACTTGGCTGTTGTGTTTGTTGATGTGAGTGAGAAAGTCATCAATCTCGTCTGCATGCAGTGCTGTGATTGCGTCATCTACGTAGCGAAACCAAAAAGGTAGTGCATGTTTGTAACTCGTGAGCGCCCGTTCCTCTATAGATTGCATTACAATTTCAGCAACTACAATAGAAACGGGTGAGCCCATTGCTGTTCCATGTAATTGTTTGTAGTGTGTACCTTTGTACTCGAAGTAAGTGGAGGTGAGGCAGAGCTCCAGTAGCTCCATAATGTCTTCTGTCGGTAATGGCAGTACGTCCGTGGTGTTTGTAATGAGGGTTTTTGTACAAGTAAGTGCCAGATTAAGTGGAATACTGGTGAACAGTTATTTCACATCAAAAGACACTACTATATAGTTGTCCGGTATTTGTACAGTGCTCAGTTTTTTAATGAAAATTTCAGTGGATTGCAGTTTGTGTTTGGATTTGTTTGTAAGTGGTTGCAGTATGTCAGTCAAGTACTTTGAGAGTTCGTAGGTGGGCGAACCACAGAATGATACAATTGGTCGCATGGGTATTTGTGGTTTGTGAAGTTTTGGTAGTCCGTATAGTCTGGGTGGTCGTGGTACTGAACATCTAAGGCGATAGTAAATACGTTCAGATATAATGTTAGATTTTCTCATAGAGAAGATCTTGCTGTTAAGTTTGCGTACTAGTGATGGTGTTGGGTCTCGTTTGAGTTGTTCGTACGTTTGTCTGTCGTTAACAAGGGTGTCCATTTTGTTGAAGTAATCATTCCTGTCCATGACCACAGTCACGCGTCCTTTGTCTGCTGGTAAAATGACGATGTTGTTGTCGTGTTTTAGTCGTTTGAGTGCTTGTTGTTCGTTCTTTGTCAAGTTGTTGTCTCTTATACAGGACGATTGTAAAGTGGAGGCTATCCTGCTTCTGATCTCGTCTTGGGTTGTTTCTGACAAGTCTCTTTGACACGCTATTTCACATTTCCTGTACACATTTCCTGTACACACAATACAATGACATAAGAACCAAATAACAATTACGGCTAACCTGACGTTTACTCCTCATTTGACTCTGAAGATGACTACCGCTAAGGTTGTCGAAACGTCAGTCAACAACAACAAAAACAGTCCTTCTCAGGACTACACCAACCTGTACGATCTATATTTACAAACATGAAGTTCTTAATTCTATAAATTTAAAACGGTATATCATAAGCTTATAAAGTTTGATGACACTAGGTAATATTGAGTTGTTGTTTTTCACCCAAATACTAAATTTCAAATCCAAAATATACTGAATAGAACAAGAAATTTACAAATTTCTCCATTTTGGAAGACAAAAGTGAAAAGCAGAGAAAGCATTGATTTGAAAATACAAATGAAGTAAATTTTCATCAAGCTTACCATTGCCATTGTCAATTTGCTCATTAAGTCTTTTGATCTGATTTTCCAGCATTTTTACCCTCTCTTTGAGTTCCAAGGCTTCTTTTTTATACTTGCATTTATCATTGCAAAGTGCACTACCTTCATTTGACTGACTCTCCTAAATAATCAACAAGAACTTAGGCAATATTTAACAATATATTCCTTTTAGTACCAACTATTAAGGTGTACCTTACTAACAACAAGTACAATATATTATAACGATAAATATCAATTTTTCAATTTCATAAGCCCCACTGATGGAAAATTCTTTTAAATGATTGCCCTATACAAGCCTTACACTGTACAATGTTTGCTTTTTAAAAGATTTTTCACTTAGAAACAAGAAATGAATTTCAAATTAACAGCATTTTATGATTGATGGGAACATATCATACAGTATTAACTTTTTTAGCATTTAACCAAACAACATCCAAATTTTATTCTGCAAAAGGACCTTAATTCCCTAGCATTCCTCATTAAAAATAAAATTGCATAATTTAGAGATAAGAATAATTAGTGTTATCATTGTGTATAGTACATACCTTTGTTAATCGCTCTTTTATAAGTGAAGCAAGACTGGCTGAGCTGCAAGCCTCTTTTTTCTTTGCCCTGGATGCCTTTAGCTTTTTAGGAATACTGTGCTCCTGCTGGTAACAAGAACAACAATACAATATTTTATACATGTTGTTTCAAAAGTTTGTTATTAGCTACTATTTCTCATTTAAATTCTTAGGCTCATAGCCTTGTTCAGCAATGCAGACCTTCGAACATAGAATTAGTAGCTAATAACATTTGAATCATGAATACCATATGGAGTACTTAACAAATTTCCATGAATGCATTATCACATTAGTGACATGAGTGCTAACTATAGATGATGGCAGCAATAATTGAGAAACATGCAGTAAACACTATATAAACAAAATGTGGTCAATGTAATATTTCGCGCAACTCACCACTTCATCTGATTCACTGTCACTTTCAATTGTAAACTTTGCTTTGTGAATTCTTTTGCGACACCTTTTGCCAGTATTTATAGAGAAAGTTTCTTCTTTTCTCATTGTCTTGAGTAAATAATCTTTGCTATCTGTTTATACAAAATAATGGATGACTATTTAACAACTATTAAAAAATAATAATTTTCAATTGGAAGCAGTAGCATGCCTGAAATTATAAGGAAACAACCTTATGCAAAGTTTGGCCTAATGTTACCACATGTATTTAAGAGGAAACAAGTTAAAATCAGGGAAATAGACACATCCTTATTGTCAGTATTGTAATTGAACTATTGCTATGTAGAAGAAAGAACAACATTTGAGCAAAAGCTTTTTATCAGAAAGTATTTCCCTCCTAAAAAAGCAGTAAGTTGAATTGATAACAGCAACCTTCATATCAACTATGACTATTTCTACTGACAAGACAGAGAAATAAACAAATAGATTTTCACACAGAAATTTACAGATATATAGCAAAGCTAAGATGTTTCATGAAAGAAATGATGACAAAGAGAAAGAGCTCGATTCACTAGCAATTAGCTTTTTGGCTGAATTATACAAGCTTTTAGAAATTTTACAAAAAATTCTACAACAGACTAAAAATACTAACCTGAAACCTCTATTATCTCTGCAGGAAATTCCCTCGACTTGCCGTTTCCCTTTGTTTTTTCATCGCCTCACATGACTAACGTTTTGAATCCTTTAAGTTCATCTTTGTCTTTCGACATATTTTCATCCCAAAAAATGATGTTAGAACATGGAATGATATCCCATGTATTTTCGTTGTAAAATTCATCAATGCAAACGCCATATTTTCGAATGTTATTGCTGAAAAGCTTTTTCAACTCTCAAATTATATCCAACAAACGAGACATTCAAAAATGACCGCCTTTGAACAATAAATACGAAGCGACCATGTGATAAACATATGAAATAGCCCAAGTCCAAAGTTCCAAACGACTATATTTGGCGATACTCGTTTGGAACTTTGGACTTGGGCTATTTCATATACACAGTTACACACACTACTGCGTTGAGTGCATACGATGGGCTGCATCAGGCTACATACATTTGCAACAAGCAAAAACAAGCAAGCAAGCAACAACAAGCAACAGCAAGCAACAGCAAGCAAGCAAGCAAGCAACATTTGTAACAAGCAAGTAATTTAGCAAAAACATGTTAATCAGATTGAAGATCATAGAATCGGGTAAAGATTAAGGATTACAAAATAACAGTCCCAGTCTCCCAACGCTCTCGTCTAAATCTAAACAGAATAGTTAGAAACAATATTGAAACAAAGCAAAGAAAAGATTTTTGTTTTTATAAGTTGAGGTAAGCCTGGTGTTGTCCGCGTTTAAAAAACCCATGTTAAGCGTTCATTAAAATACCCTGAAGTAAACGTTAAAAATGGCTTATGAAAATACTGTAGAATTATCCTAGAAATACGAAGCAGTTATGGTTCTCAGTGGAGTAGGGGGGATGCTCTTGGCTATAAGAATGGTTTGTGGGAATTCTGCTACAGTGGTACTCAAATTCATGAAGAACTAGAAAAACTCGGAGGACTTGATAAAATTGACATTAAAGGATGGAGGGCTAGTGACGACACTGTACTACACATTGCTACAGCAGAAGCGTTGGTTTCTGAATGGGTTATTGAGCATTATGGCTACAAACTACAAAGTACAAGAAGACATGTGCTGAGGATATGTGGGAAAGAGCTCCCGGGCAGACCACAACAAAGGCATGTTTCATGTTACGACCTCTTGAGGAAAAAAGTTACATTATATCATTTAATGAACGAGGTGGAGGATGTGGTGCAGCTATGAGATCCATGTGTATAGGTTTGATGTTTCCTTGTGAAGATCAAATTAAAATGTTAATCGAAATTGCTGTTGAAAGTGGAAGGATGACTCATAATCACCCCACAGGTATTCACCTTTCATAATAAAACAACGAGTTCATATCATGTATCAATTATCAAGTCACTAATGTCTAGTGTTTTGCCAATTGACAAGTATTGCTTAGTACACAGTTTGCCAGGTTATCCTGTTATCTGCATTTCTTTTCATTTTGACAAACCTTTATAGTAATTTAGCTTTTCAATCCTTTTGCTTTTCTTAGATGTTTTACCTTCAACTCTTCCTTCGATCAAGCCATTACCAAGAATGTTTCATATTCTTTTATCTAATATCAATTTATAAATAAAATAAAAGATGGTTGACCCTAGGTTTGCATAAGTCCATGCAATCCATCATTTTCTAGAACCACATCTCAAATGTTCCATCCTTTTAACATTGCTCACTTTTAATGACCATATCTGTGATCCATCCATTTTATTGCTTTTCCACATTTCCAAATTTCTGTCTCCTAAAAGCTGTATGAATTGTCATTGCAGTTCTTGCTTTTATATCTTCACTACTACAGACACTGAATCCATGATTCATGTCAAAATACTGCTATTATGTAAATAGGGTCATCATAATGTACAGTACCGACCTCGAGTAACATGACATGACTCGCGAGTATCGAGTGGCGAGTGGGCGAGTGACTCGCGAGTCAATTGCGAGTGACTCGCGAGTAACGAGTGGCGAGTGGCCGAGTGACTCGCGAGTCAATTGCGAGTCACTCTCGAGTGTGAGAAGTTTGCGAGTGAATAAGTGACTCGCTGTTTGCGAGTGAAAAAAAAAACTCGCAAAAATTTCCGACAACGACTATTCATTTGAAGCAATATCTCAGTACCTAATGACGTTAAAATCTTTTGAATTTTTTTATAAAAGCATTTTAATAACTTCACATTTCTCATGGCACAAACGTTATTCGTAAAGCGGTAGAGACCATAGAGAAATTAGTGAGAAAATCAAAGTAACTCTCAAATATTTTCTTCTAACAGTCTTCGATTGTTGACATATATTATCTTAAGATAGAATACATTTAAAAAACGAATATTGCATGACGTCAAATATTTAAGGAATGTAGCTATGAGATGAGTGTGCGTATAATCTTTTAAATTTGGTTCTGAAATTTGGTACAGTCATAAATTAGCCATATTTATTAAATTTTAAGCTAATCGTTGCTTGCTATTAATTAAATGTGTATAGTGCTGTGAAGTCAATGAAATTGTTTCCGAAACTAATCTCATTTTTAAACATTTCTAATGGTAAGTGAATCGCAAAAGCTATCATCTAGCCATTAACTATACACGTGGTTTTATTTCATTGATTGCTATTAAATTTCTATGGCCTTTATCAATATCGTCTGTGTAACACATCGAAAACGTGAAGTCAATGAACTTCTTTCAGAACCAAATTTAAAAGATTATACGCACACTCATCTCATAGCTACATTCCTTAGATATTTGACCTCAAACAATATTCGTTTTTGAATGTATTCTATCTTAAGATAATATATGTCAACAATCTAAGACTGTTAGAAGAAAATCTTTGAGAGTTACTTTGATTTTCTCATTAATTTCTCTATGGTCTCTACCGCTTCACGAATAACGTTGGTGCCATGAGAAATGTGAAGTTATTAAAATGCTTTTGTAAAAAAATTCAAAAGATTTTAACGTTATTAAGTACCGAGATATGGCTTCAAATGAATAGTCGTTGTCGGAAATATTTGCGAGTTATTTTATTCACTCGCAAACAGCGAGTCACTTATTCACTCGCAAACTTCTCACACTCGAGAGTGACTCGCAATTGACTCGCGAGTCACTCGCCCACTCGCCACTCGTCACTCGCGAGTCACTCGCAATTGACTCGCGAGTCACTCGCCCACTCGCCACTCGTTACTAGCGAGTCACTCGCAATTGACTCGCGAGTCACTCGCCCACTCGCCACTCGATACTCGCGAGTCATGTCATGTTACTCGAGGTCGGTACTGTAAGTGACCTAAAATTAGCAATCTTTAAAGATGATTTTATTTTTAGGTTATCTTGGGGCTGTTACTGCAGCTTTATTTACAGCCTATTCTATTTAGAAGATACCTCCAAAAAGTTGGGTAGCAGGACTTTTAAGTGTTTTACCCAAAGTTTGGGAATACATTGAGAAGGTTGGTCGTGATGTAGAAGAAAACAAGAAATCTTGGGGCTACTTTAAAAATAATTGGAAGTCATGTCTTGAACTACGGGAAATAACCAAAGGAAACAGTGAACCAAAGTTTCCAGTGATGTATAACATACCTGAAAGTGATGCTTTTTATAAGTCTGTGAGTTATGCAGGTTGGGGTGGATCCAGTGGTCATGATGCACCAATGATTGCTTACAATGCTTTGATGATGGCAAAAGATTCCTGGTTTCAATTGTGTTCTTACTCTATGTTTCATGGTGAAGATAGTGATAGTACAGGAATATTGGCTGCAGCATGGTGGGGTGGTATGTATGGTATGAAAGTTGTACCTCTTGGAATTTATTAGAACTTGGAATATTGTCATAGGCTTATGGAGCTGGGTAAAAAACTACTGAATGTATCAAAGAATATGAAAAACTAACAGGACAGTATTTATTTAACAAAATTTATGTCATAAAATTCTGTCATCCCAATATACTTTAGTATTTTTGTGAATCATACAATAAAAATTACTACTTGGTTATAACATAAAAACAAATTACTTTAGAAATAAAGTCTAAAGGAGAATGTCAGATTCAGAGCATGGGCAGTTTTAAGTTCTTCTTAGGATGATTCCTGGTCTGTAGAGTAAGTTTATTGACTACATATCAGTGAAACTATATATAGACAAGGACCATTACATCTTTAGGTTCATTTTACTTCATAAAGTGCATACTGAAATTGTTTTGTTCAGTACCAAAAATACCTTGTGAGGAGGGGAGGGGAATTGACTTGGTGAGTTGACCTTGCTCCTTCAGTCTATATATCAAAAATAGGCACTGTGATTTGATCTAAAGATATTTGAAAAATTCCGAAGCGTATAGAGTTTACTCTATCGCTTTTTTCGTATACTGACTGCAGTTTTACAAAACACCAATAAATGATTATAATATCAAAGACACGGCGAAAATAATATGATTAGAACATAGTAATTTTTAGTCACCAAAGCTTTACTGCATG